ATATATATATATATATATATATATATATATATGATTGACTTTACTGCACAAGTTATACTGGCTGTATCTACACAAGATGCTGCCTGTGCAGTTATTACTGCGCAGTCATTTAGTACTTGCATACACGAGTACTGAATGACTGCGCAGTAACATTGCCATAAGGCTTTTGGGTGACACTGATTGCACAGTAGCTCCTTAGTACAGAGCAGTAGTGTTGCATCACGCTTTGTGCCACACGATGCTACTGCACAGTAGTAACTAGCTACTGTGCAGTCAGTGTCTCGTGTAGATATGGTCACTGAGTACATTTATTTTTCTGTATTCAAACCCTGCAATCCCTACTTTATTCATTCTGTCCCTATTCAAGCTATACTCCCACTGAATGCAAAGGAAGTTCTGCAAGAACTGGCCTGTCATTGGTATACATATTTTGAGAGTGCCTTTTCCTACATGGACATCAATGCATCTTTGGTTTAATACTTTTCCCTCCAGCTGAGCTTCCAAGAATTTCAAACCACTTTACAAACATTACTGAGTTTAATACTCACCACACCCTAGTACATAGGTTAGTTTTTTTACCTCTGCCCCCTCCCCCTTTTGCAGATAGGGAAGATGAGATAGAGTTGTGAGGTGACATGCCCACAGATAATCAGGCCAGTGTTGGATGCTTGGAAGAGGACCCAGATCTTCTAGCTTTTAGTTCATTTGGTTTAACTACTAACCTTTCTGCACACAGTACATGGACTTTCTCTTTTTTAGAACTGTTGTTCTAAAAGAGACAGTAAATAAATAATGTTTCTTTCTCAGTGTCTAGCAGTTTCTATGGAACTCAGTGGCATGAAATTCATCCTCAGTACTGGACTAAGTTCCAGGTTTGGGAATGGCTACAACATCTCCTTGATACCAACCAGCTGGATGCCAACTGCATACCTTTCCAGGAATTTGACATCAATGGTGAACATCTGTGTAGCATGAACTTGCAAGAATTCATCCAGGCAGCTGGGATAGCAGGGCAACTTCTTTACTCCAACCTCCAGCATCTAAAATGGAATGGTAAATATGCATTAGTATATGGACAGACAAGACTGCAAATGCAAACACAATTCTTTTAGTTTTGGATTGATCAAAGGTCATTTATGTTCCTCAGGTTTGTACTCATTGAAGCTCTGGGGGATACAACAGCTCCCTGGGAATGGAGCTTCACTGATGTAGAGTTCCTAAGATATACAAGACTGAAACCCCTCGCTATCCAAATCTGCAGCTTTACAAAGTTTTCCTGGGTTCTCTAAGACATTTGTCAATTTGGGAAAAGACCCTGAAAGAGGAGGGGGCATTTTAACAACCCCTCAAAGCTGTTCTTTGTTAGCAGAGTAGCCCACCTTCTTATATTGAGGAAAGGAGCTCTGTATCCCATTAATGCTCACAAGATTTGAGTTTGCTCAACAATGAGGAATTCATTGAAACATGTTTGCTGCTCAGTGTCCTGCTAGTGCACCTCTGCCACTAACTGGACATCTTACTATTTGGAAATTTATCACAACAATATGTATCAAGTCAGTAACAGGTTATCAGATATAGGAGAGAAGGTTAAAAATAAATCTTTTGATAATGCTCACTAAAAGTAATTTAAAATAACTACAGATATGCTTAACTATACCTGAATTACATAAAACACCACAAAAATGTGAAATGCTTTGTCATATGATACCCACTTAGTTTCAGGTTGTCCATATGTTGTTCTTTGTATGATGTACTTTTATTTATATATTTCTATATCCCAAGTCTGCAAAGGGAATATTTTTTCTGAGGCCTATGTAGGCAAGAAGTCAACTCACTCTATTGCATAAAAAGAGACAAAGAAAGGTAAATGACAGACTCTTCCATCCATGCTTCCATCTGATCTTTCTCATGTCCAGCAAATCCCTCCTTGAATATTAGACAGGAAACTGCAGTGTGGGGGAGACTGTCTGTCATGTCAAATCTTCTTCAAATTAGCCTTCTGTCTCAACTATATTAGTTCCTGCAGAGAGAGATATCTTCATTTCTTGTCATGTATTATTATAACTCTCTTCCACCATTTGATTTCTTTCAGGTCAGTGTGGAAGTGATATGTACCAATCACATAATGTCATTGTTAAAACAGAACAAACAGGTCAGTAATAACAATAGTGAGGTGCTGGGGACCTCAGTTTTACCTTGGGTGGCATCTGCTTCACTTAAGCACAAAAAATATCTGTCTTTCATAAAAGAGTATGTTAAACAATGTAGACGGAACTAAACCTGAATTTTCTAGAGTACTGGTAAATCCTTTCCATTGTATTGTGGAGGTCTCACATGGCACTGGTTTGCAAAGGGTCACCTGAGCTTGGGGACCTGTACAATGTCTTCTCCACCCTCCTCCAGATTCTCCAGCTTGCAGTGGCTACCCACGAGAGTTGTGCCAATGACTGTATTTTGCCTTACTGCAGGTTCTGTGGGGGGAAATAAAAGGCATTTTGGGGTCAACCCAAATGAGACAATTTTCAAAACAAGTATCTCTTTAATTTTCAACCACTGTTCAGTGGTTGAAAATTAAAGAGAAATTTGTTTAAAATAATTAAAAAAAAAAAATTGTTTTAAAGAAATGTGTTTTAAATGAAAAAAATGTTTGTTTCAATTTTGAATGCTCATAAAATTATTTAAAAGAAACTCAGACATTTCAAAGCGAAAAGTCTTTTGAATAGAAATCTTAAAACATTTCATTAAGATGTTTTCATCATTTCCCCGCCAAAGTTCAGTAAAATTGAACCAGGTTTGTGAAATATCAGGATAGCTGACAAAAATACACACAACTAACTTGATTCATTCCCAGGGCTTGGTTTCATTAACAATACAATCCAGCCCATGTTGTCTGCTTGGACATTTTCAAGGTTCCTTTTCAAAAGTGTCTTGGCTGATACCTGACATCACAATACACAGCCTCTCCCAACTCCCATACATGTGGGTGTCTTAATGACCCACCATCAAACGCATACAATTTTTTGACAAAATTAACACCTACACAGTATGAGGTATTGCAGACATTGGCAGCCTTATTAAACTACTTAGCCTATTACCCTTGCATTGCAGAATGGAATATAGTTAAGGACAGAGCTGAAGGATGACCTACTGTTGGAGAGAAAGGAGCTAGAGTTGAGGGGTGCCTTAAACATTAGTGGATATGGTTCAAACACCACCTTCAGTTTTTGTCTGGGATCTGGCAGGGTGCAGGTGTCCTGCAGAAGAAATAGGTTGTGCCTTTCAGGAAGGGTAAGCCTGATAGCTTGCTGCTTGTGACAAGACAGAAATGATACTGAAGGAAGCTTGGCAGGTCCCACTAAATCAGTGAAGATTGCTGGGATGTGGGTTCTAGAAAAGGTAGAAATGAGAGGAAAAATAATTCCCTCCTCCTATGCTCCAGCTTGATAAGATTTGTTTTCAGAGACAACATTAGGTAGATCAGGTGTCTAAACAAGAAGAGGGTGTGTACTATTACAAGAACATTGGTTTAGGATGCCTAAACATGTACCTATTAGTTGCATACCTGCTAAATTCCTAGGTCATAAATGTTCATTCAGCCAAACCTGATGACTTAGCCAATAGTTCATTTTTAACTTTAATTGCATTTATACATTTATGATAAAACCCAAACTTGAATGTTATGCTTTATCACCTTTGCTTTACAGCTAGAAAGAAAATTACACTTAACATGTCTGACCTCAAAATCTGTAGTATAAAAAGACTAATTCCACCAGGTGCTAATAAAACAAATTGAATATGTACAGGTTTTGACTATATCACTATAACACTCTATTAAATTGTGCTTGTGTTGTAATGAGTAATGTGCCTCTAAGGGTACCTTTAAAATTCTTCTCTAGTTTTGTGTTTTGCGTTCTGTGCCCATAAAGATGTCATTTAGCAACAGGCCCTCAGTCTGTGCCCATGCAAAGACTCCACAATAGAATGTAATGATATAAAATGTGTCTTATGTTAAAAAGAAATAAAATGTTTGGGTCTTACATAAAACAATCAAAATATCTTTGTGTCTCTTTATATATCATTAAATCCAGTGGGGGCTTCTGGGCACAGAGAATAATAACCCCCCCCATACTGTCTGATTTTACTAGAATATGTGAAAATACAATAATTAAATAATAAAAAAAGCATTGTGTCTGCTGGGCTACATTAGGCAGGAGGATGAGCTAGTTTAGGAAACACAAATGAGTTACTAGCTAAGAGGCTATAAGAAAAGAAAGCCCAAACAAAATAACTTAACCTGTTTGCCAGTAGGTCAACCTCCCCCTTATCACATAGCTGAAAATAAGAGTCTGCTTTGTAACCTCTTCAGTGTTCTCTTCCTAGACTCTTCTGTCACATAAACCTCATTCATTCAGTCTTTCAGTGTCTCATTGTTATTCACCTCATCTCTCGAAACCTTTCTTTTAATGATACAGTTTCCCTTTTGGTCTCTTATCTTCAGATCCATCATTAATGGCATTCTGGAAAGAAGAGAATTATCTGTATGACAGTGGCTATGGTGGTACTGTAGGTAATTGACATAACTTCAAGCATTTCTGAGGTGTTTTTATTGGTGCAAGAGGATGTCGCTCTAAATTTCTTCTTTTTGATCCCCAGATTTATTGGATAATAAAACTTACTGCCGTGCACAGATTTCTGCAACCAGTCTTAGTCAACAGTCTATTGGTAAGGAGTTCTTAATTCTCTTGCTCTTAATTCTCTTGCACAAATCCTTGAGTTACCGATCAATGCAAGCCTTTGTGGTCATCTGTTGAAGGACTTTTGAATAATTTTGAACCAAACAATACCAATGTTGAGGCCTCTTTGAGTTACTGTTTCTACCAGAGACTGTTTTACAGAAATCTTTTCTTTCATCTCTATCAAGAAGAAGAAGAACAAATAATCTGCAACTTCAGGGGTCACTTCACATAACTTGCGAAGTGGACTGGCTCAAAATGGAAGTTAGTATTAGAGAGACAAGATGTTCATCTCCTGTCACAAACTGTTGTGTGGTGCAAAGATATGACTGCTGTCTTCCTTTTTGGTAGTGTCTACACTCCAGCGGTTAGTAAAGTGGTTTGCATGAAACACATAAAGCAGATTCAGCATTGCCTTATGCTTCATTTTTGCTTGATAATCCAACACAGAGGAGCCAGAGAGCAAGCATAAAGCTACCTCATGAATTGTGTGATAGCAGGGGGTGTTTAAAGGCATGCTGGGGCAAGTCAGAAGCTTATACTGTAGTTTCTACAGTGTGTCATTTATGTCTCTAGTGTGCCATTCCATCTCTTTGTACAGATACTGTATACCTCCAGAGTAACAGTGATATACTTTTCCTTTTTATAGAAGACTAGATAGTGGCACAGTGCATGGATTCATCTGAGTGTGGCTGGGATGCTTTGGAAATGGTGGTTTAGTGGCTGCTGTGGGAAGGCAGTGAGGAACGTGAAGAGGAAGACATGATGGATTAGTCAGGAGGTTGTAGAAGAATTGGTGAGAGATGGGAAAGAGCCAGAAGAGAAGGAAGGAACAAGAAAGAGGAGAAGAAAATGAGGTTGGCAGGAAGGAAGGCTTCTTGACAGAACTGTATTTAGGAGGGAAAAGAGAAAGATAAGGAAGAAATATTATGACTTAAGTCCTCTCCCCAGGTGCTCCTGCAGCTCCCCACAAAGCTTTATGCTGTGTCTGACTCAGTTCATTTGTCCAGTGGTCCCTGATCCTTAATCCACCTGACACCCTTTAAGATACAGTAACTGTGTGTGTGTGAGCGCATGCATATTTGGTGCAGCCCGGGCTTATACGTACAGCAAGGCTTGCCAAGGTGACGTAATGCTTTAAACAAATGCAGTCAGCAATAAATGGAAAGGAGGGGGGAAAAACTTTGCTTTTTATCTTGCCACCACCCATTCTCATAAAATGTCTGGCAGCTCCTCAGATCTCCCTGACAGTACTGAGAGCCTGTCAAATTTCTTGGCTTGGAGTGCTTATCTGTTGACTTGTTGAGCCTAGAGCTAGGGTGGCACGCTAAGGGCACTGCCTGTTGCAAAAACTAAATTTCTATATCCCGTAAAGAAGTGGCTCATTCCTGAATCATATGCAAATAATCTGAAATCTTTTGTCACAGGTGTTGCAAGGCAGCTTTGTTGAAACTGCTTCATAATTCTTTTCATCTGTCAAGCCTCAGCCTTCTAATGTTGCATGCTTGGAACAAGTCTCCATGTAAGAGTTGAGGCAGAATGGGATGCTGTTTACACAGGTGAAATGAGGAATAAATCATTGACTAGGTAGAGGGCAACTCCATTTCAAAGAATAAATCTCCAGTTAAATGGAAAATAGCAAAGCAATTTCCAAGCTATATGAGGCTTTCAAAATGGTGTTTCAAGTCAAGCTATCTAACAAATTGAAGAACAGATTGTTACGCAAAACAAAATTCCTACTGATTCTTGATTTCTAATGATAAGAATAGTAGGACAATATACCTAGGGCAACTGTAGAATCATCGTCATCAGAAATTATCAAGAAAAAAGATAAATAGGCATTCTGTCTGATCTAGGTATGGTGATTCCTGAATACTTGGAGGCCCTTTTCAACCTTGTGATTCTGTGATAACCATTTAATACTTCTTTGAGAGCTTCTGTGGGAGTTTGGACACAGACAGCAAAATCATTGCCTAATTTCTTTGTGGGTTAATTTCTAGCTTAGTAAATGTCTTGCTCTTTGAAAGGCAAAATAGACATGTAAAGATGTGCTCAGAGTTTATCGCGGCTCTGTGTCACAACCATGTTATGTCAGACTAAAAGAACAAGTAAGGACTATCTTCTTTGACTTGTACAGTCTCCACTTCCTAGTTTGTGCTTCCAAGTGGCCATTGAGCACAGTAAGCTTGTGAAATGTTTTGCATCTATTTTTTCACATGCAATTACTGCAGTTGTGTGTGCAAACAAGGCACATTTTAATGCAAATATATATTTACTCTAAATGGTTTGTACATACAAATCCTCAATTTCCATGCAAAATGATGGTAATTATGAATGCATAATAGCTGGAAAATATAGGTGTGCTTCCAAAACTTTACTAATAAGATTTGGGCACTAAACATCCTAAAACAAATAGGGACAGGACTTATAATTGGTAATATGGTACGTTTTGACAGTTCTTAAATTAATTAAGATAAACCAATTCTGATAGATTTCAGTAATAGATTTCAATTTTGCTTTCTCTGAGAATGGGAATGTTAAATACATAGATTTCTATATAGGTGATAAGTGATAAACAATTTAACTTCTTAGTTTCTGAGGAACATCTTGAGCTAGAGATCCTATTCTATCTAAGCTGGTTACAGGTGATAATATTCCACTGATCAGAGTAATAGGAACAATACATATGTCTAGCTGCCAAAAACTCTGAACAACTTGGCCTGAGTATTAAGACTACTTTTCTTTTTAAAATTTTCTTAGCAACAACGCCCTGCAAGATCATTATGTTTTTAGGCAAGTGGATATGCAGTACATTAACACTAGTACATACATTTCACATTAGATCATCCCTATAACAATAAAAGAGTCCCCTAAGTTACATGCTAGAGCAAAGCCTGGGATATAATGGGACAATTTATGAATTCCTTTTATAGACCTGATCCTCTTTCTTTTCATTCTGACACATACGTTAGGTACAAGGGACACTAGTTGAGGGATTTGTTAATCTAATTTATGTTTACACAGCCATCTCAGTATTCATTCTTTATTTATCAATGGTCTTTTTGTGCAACTGGCTGATTAAAATGTAACTCACAAAACAAGAGCATCCCCTTGTTTCCTGCATTAGTTTAACTTCTAAAAAGTGATTGTTTTCAAAACAGGGACATATTTTTGTGGTTTTCTTTATTTTAACATGCTAGTCAATGGAAATTGCTTAACCAAATTTACAAGAACAACTTAATTTTCATTCTTTGCAGAGTCCTCTGATGGAAAAAAAACACAAGATCATCCTCCAAAGTCCCATGCGAAGAAGCACAGTAAGTTAGCTTCTTATGGTAAAAGTTTTGGTTTGATTAAAAGATGATGGAGACAGTTCAAGCTTAGGTTCAAGTTTTGAAAGAAAAAGGAAGCCAGAAGGGAAAAAAATCCAGTTTCAGAATGAACGGATCAAGTGGAGCTTAATATACACCTGCTGAGGAGCTGATAAAGTGTTTCTTTCTGGCGCTGCTTATGTATCTTGGCATGGCTTAGTCCAAGACAGAGTGAAGAGGTACTAAATAAAGTTCTAATCAGTGAAACTATTTCAGCATGACAGGATCAGATATTAGTTGATAGTGTCCTGGTTTATACTGTGACTCATGGGTTGGAAAGATTGAAAAGATTAGTTGGCAAGTAGGAGTTCAGTTACTAGTTACAGCTGATAAATTTCATTCTCATAATGCTGAGGGTTTGTCCCTCCATTAGAGAGTAGTTTAAAACCTAAAGGGTATGTCTACCTGTTCATTAATGTGCAGTAGTTACTGTACATTTAATTTAGTATTTGTATAATCAAGAACTAAATAAACATGCAGTAACTGCAGTTAGTGCACAGTAGCACTGGCGAACACCTTTTTAGGCTAGGGACAGACATTACACATAAACCAGTTTAAGTAATCAGAAACTAGTTTCAAGTTTCAACAGAAAATAATTTCAATGCACATAAACCAGTTTCAAAATGGCTGAAACTGGTTTAAGACAAACCTGGTTGAATGTAGTAAGGGACTTAACTGGTTTGGGTCAAACCAGTTTATGCAATGTCTGTCCCAGACCACTTCCTGGTTCAAGTTAAACCAGTCTCCCAGCATCCCAGATGCTTTGCAGCCCTGGGCCGGGCTGGGCTGTGTTCTCTGCTCCAGAGAACAGGGATGGCCCCACGCCCCTGCTCCCTAGCTTAAGCTCTGGCAGAGGGGTCTGCCTGGCTTCCCCCTTTCTCCCACCCCACCTTGCTGCTCGTTGTTCAGGCAGGGTTCTCCCCCTTCCCTCCCTTCAATCTCTCACAGCATGGACCCCAGCCCCACAAACCCTAGGCATGTGGTATGTTAGCTAATGCTTAGAGGTGTGTGTGTGTGTGTGTGTGTGTGTGTGTGTGTCTCCAATTTCACTGGGACAGGCAGACAGAACAGTGCCTGCTTAAGGCTTTTTGGAGCCAATCAACAGGTCAACTGGTAATGTCCCTCTGTTCCTTCCTTGGAAAAAGCTGTTTAAGAAGAGCTTGAACTAATGAGAGGAGCTTTTGTTTTGTTGATGGGCTGATAAATGCTGTGTTATCAGCTCTCTGCTGGCTCCCTTGCCTGTCAGGTTTGCAGACAGTATGAAGAAGCAGTGAGAGGGAGATTGAAAATCTCAGTATTATCAACAGATACGTGCACTGCACACACATCCCTTTGCCTCAGAGTGCTAGCCAGGGGCTGAGGTCTGTCAACACTCCTGCCCCTTGAGCAGCAAGTGGAAGGAGAAGCCTGGGATAGTGCAGGCAGGATGGGGGCTTAAACCCCTCATTTATCAGAGCATCCTGCCAGGGCCTGGTCACACCCCCTCTGCTCAGCACTGTGGAAGGGAAGGGAGGGCTGCTCTGGCACCTCCTGGCTTCTAGCCTGAGCCACTGCAGGCATGTGCTTGCATTTCTTCAGTCCAGAGGGAAAGTCTGTGCAGTTGCAAACTAATTCAATCTAGGCAGGTTAGACTAACCAATCAATTCAGGCTCAGGCTTTTTGAATGTCTGTCTCTAGCCTTAGAGACCCTACTGCGCAGTAGCCTAGTAATACTGTGCAGTAGCGTATTAGCACAGTTTGTGCTGTGACATCCAACTGCGCAGTATTATTCTGCTACTGCACAGTTAGTGTCTTGTGTAGATGCTCCCAAAGTGATTATGAAGATTTCAAGAAAAGCTGTTCCCAAAATTGTGTAAATATTTTCACACATCTTAGCAAATGGTGCCAGAGAATATTCTGCCTTTTAGTAGAAGAGACCTGCACAGCAATCTGGGGACATCATTAAAAGTGCTTTGCTTCCTGAATGGATCCTCTCCCTTTGAATTTAAATGGTAAAAGCTATAGGGAGCATAGGACATAGGGCCAGAAAGTTACTGAGTCCAATCTCACAATGTGGTGGCCTTGTTGATGAACTTATCAAGGTCCGTCTTAATACTAGCTAGTGTTTTGCCTCGAGGATTATTGGAAATCTTTTCTAGAACCCAACTACATTGTTTAGAAATTTTCTTTTAATTTCCATCCTAAATATATTCATGGTCAGTCCATTCATTCTTCTGCCAACATTAACTTTTAGTTTAAATAGTTCTCTCTCCATGTATTTATAAACAGCAATCACACAGCTTTCATTTTCTAAGCCAGGGGACTGCAACTTTTTTAGTGGGGACCCAGAATGACCAGCTTAAGTCAGAGATAGGCAAGCAGTAGGACCCAACCATTGCTACCACTTCTTGCTGCCTGGCTGCAGTGTAGTGCATCACAGAGAAAGCCCCCTTCCACCCAAGCCCATGCTGTCCACCTGTGGCACAGCCCAGGGGGAACTCCTTCTCTACCAAGCTCCTGGCATCCAGCTGCAGTGCAGTATGAGCAGAGCCCACCACCTCTGAATGCTGCCAAACCCATGGCTCCACAGACCAGATCCAAAGACTCCATGGTCCACATCCAGGCCATGCGTCATAGGTTGTTGACCCTTGTTCTAAGCTAAAGAATCCCATCCTATCAGGGGGGTGCTTGGGATCACTACAGCCTTATCGGAGTCTGTGACAGTGGGCCCTGAAGCCAGCCTAGGTGTGGCTTCTAGAACGGGGAGTCGGGGGGAGGACCTTGGCTCCTTTCCACTCCTTCCCACTCTTGAAACCCTGGCTTTTCAGTCCTTGAGATTCCCTAGTTTTCCGTGGCTGTGACCCATGGAGCTAATGTCCAGCTCAACTCTGGAGAGACTATTTAAGTCCTGTTGATATTGAAGTTCTCTCTTGTCTTGTCATGCTTGTAGGTAGCTCTGGCACTTACTAGGGATCCTATTAATGCTTCTTTCCCCGTGCACTAGCTTTATAAGTAAACTGAGGAATGCAGCTTTATTATAACATGAGGACAGTTAACACAGAATTATTACAATAAAAGTCATACTCCATCACAACATCATTCTGCCCCCAAAATAAAACTGAAGGAATAATAGATTTTTCAATCCAACAGCTTAATTGAAGATTCAGGAAAATAATGATTTATGTTGAAATAATTTTTTTAAATTGAATTTTTAGTGAAAAAATATTTAATTTGGGGTTAATCTGAAATGTTTCATGTGACCTGAGCAACAAAATGAAATGTTGAAAAGTTGCATTTCAAAATTGTTGAACTAAAACACTTCAGCATTTTCAACTTAGAATGATTCTTGGTATTTCCCATTTCATCCCTATACTCTCTGAGCTGTATCTTTCCAGTGGCTCAATCCCTTTATGGGCTTCCTGCTTACTCCTAGTAGTCTTGTTGAGGTAGTTATTCATCTGGTTAGTTTGGGGCTCTTCATTATAAGTTATTTTATTCGCCTTGCTTGGGGGAAAAGTGTCAGATGTTTTGATTTAGAGAGATCCAAAGCTTTCTCCATTTTGAGGTCTTAGGCTTCACTTAGTTCCCTCAATTTGTCAAAGTTTACTTTTTAAAACCAAAACCCTTTGTTCCAGACCTATGTTTGTTTATCCTTCCATTTCATTTAAATGGAATCAACTCATGCAGGGGCGACGTGTAGGGGGTGCACGTGGGTACATGTGCACCCCCTGAATGTGGCGGTGCTCCCCCTACAAAATGGCACCACTGACACTCTCAGCGATGCCTATGGGCAGTCGCTGCTTGCCATCCCATAGCTGACACTGCCAGTGGCATCTGTGGGCGGTCCGTGATCTCCACTGGCCGCCGCTGCTGATGGCAGCTGCAGGTGGTCGCTGACCCTTGGTCTGCACTCACCAGCCCCCACTCTACTGCTGACAGCACCAGCGGTGTCTGTGGGAGCTCCCCCGCTTACTGCCACCACGCTCCCACTGCTCCCGCTTCCCCACCATGCTCCCGCTGTCGCCGTGCCCTCCCAGGTGCTGGAGGCACACGTCATTCATGAACTCAAGTTCATTTGATTCAATGTTATTTCCAAGAACAAACTCTTCTTTAATGCCATCACTGTTTAATAGAATTGGAAACTGTGCATATATGCCAAAAATGCCACTGCTACTTATTTTGCTGGAAAACTGTCAGGTAGATGCACAAGGTGAAACCGAATACTATTGTATGTGTCTAATAATATTATAAAGATCTTTAAGTATAGCCAGATTCAACCCCTGGGGTCTATAGAAGACTTCTCCTGCTACTCTAGTCAAACCTTTTTTACGATCCTTTACTGAAATGACTTGGACCAAACCAACAATGCTCTGTGCGTGCTAGCTTCTTATTTCTTTTCAAGTTTTTCACATTGTTAATGTATAATGTTGTCCCACTACCTTTACTTTTACTTGTATTTTATGAAGTGTCCCCACCTTAAATACAAATAGTCCAGTTGTGGTTGCTATTCCACCCTGTTTCTGTTCTCCTTATAACAGCTGGTTTCATGCCATTACAACAGAGCAGTGACGTGAAGTTAATGGTACTGCAAGCATGAGGGTTAAACAAGGTATCCTTTGGATAGGAATAATGCAAGCAGTGAGCTTTGTAGAATGAAACAAAACCTTGTGGAAACTTTAGCTCTCTATGTTGCATCCATTGCTGATTTGGAGCAGTGTTTTGCTGCAGTTTTATTGAGTTACTCAAATCACTGTAGAGCCATTCTAAAAATAACTTAAATCCGAGAAACTTCAAGATTATTTTCCTATGTGTCTCGTATACAATTTATATTGCAGTTATGAGGAATGATTAGACTGTACATTTATGAATAGAACCGTCACATTTTGTATTTCATATTTAATGAAATACAATGTCTTCGGTATTTTTGGTTGGTCATGTTTTTCTTTGTTCCTCAATCTTGTTTCAGATCCTCGAGGGACTCACCTTTGGGAATTTATCCGAGACATTCTTCTAAATCCTGAAAAAAACCCAGGTTTAATAAAGTGGGAAGACCGGTCTGAAGGTGTCTTCCGGTTCTTAAAATCTGAAGCCGTGGCTCAGCTGTGGGGAAAGAAGAAAAATAATAGCAGCATGACTTATGAGAAACTCAGCCGGGCTATGAGGTAGTATGAGCTGAGAAAACTTCATTTACAATCTTTGATTAGTTAAAGAGACATTGAATCAATTTGTGATCTTGTTAATTTATAAAAATGAACCAAAAGTAGTAGTTGCTTGCTACATTACAAGAGGGTTACATTGCATTTCTTTCTTTATTGATATGTGAAAGACTTACACAAACAGTAAGTGAGACTGACGGACTGACTGTAGGCGGAGCTGAGTAGACACAAAAGATGAAGCATATCCCTGTGCAGACACTGAAGCCATATGCCTCCCTAAACCTGGGGAGCTTAAATTGGACCTTAACAGGGCAAGAATATTATTGCTTACTTCAAATGTTCAAAACCAAGAGTTGGGTCACCCAAAATTGTTAGACTAACTTACAAGGAAATCATGAGAGACTTAAAAAAGAAAGAATATATGTGGTTTTTTTATTTCCTGTTTGGTTATCATAATTTTTTCCATATCCTTGAGGACTGGGAACTTCTTTTAGTTTTAATGAAAACTGAGATTCTAAGTTGGGAACAGTACTTCAAAAGCTGACACTTCTGGAAAAAGCACCACTGTGACACCCATGATAAAATTACACAAGTTGGCAGCAGTGCACAAGGAGAAAGATGCCTAATTTTACCCAAGGGCTGTCAAAAACAAAAAATCAACAACATAAACTAAAAGAAAAAAGGATCTTTTCTTCCTCTATAATCTCTTTCAGATACAATCTTGTGTGTTACTTTTAGCAAAGGTAAAGAAAATATTGTTGATAGCAGTAGGAAATCTTAGGGCATGTCTTGCTCTCTTGCTGTGCCAGGCAAAGGCATGCTTAAGCATGCCACATTGCTCCATGCACTGTATCTCCTGAACTTTAAGTGCCTAGGCTAATTAATTCAGTGAAAGGAGGAGAAAAGTATCCTGCCCAGAGCACTACAAGTGCTCTAAGTACCTACAGTGCTTCTGGTTCACTGTGGGCACATCTATACGTGTGCTTTAATGCACAGTAGCCTATTTTACTGCACATTAAAGTTTCATGTAAAAATCTATGTGATTATGCTAATGTGCAGTAAAATAGGATACTATGCAGTAAGCATCACTTAAAAACCATGCACATTTGTTACTGAGGATTAAGGCAGCCTAATGAGCATTTCTTTAGTACCTCACACTGGAGGTATTAAATTTAATGTGCATTAGAAAAAGCACCTTAATGCATGTGTAGACCTGCCCTGAGGTGACTTATGACTATAATGGCTAAGTATAGACAGTCAAAAAACCTAAGGTTGAATTAATTCAATCTTCACAGATTAGTCTAAGCTGCATAGCTTGAACTAAAAAGCAAGTGAACAAATATTCACTTTCGATTCCAGAAATACAGCCACATGCCTGGAGTGGCCCAGGTCAGAAGCCAGGGGGTGCTAGGGTATACCTCCCTGCTTGGCTGGAACAGACAGCTTGGGCCCAGATTAGCCCTCCCACTCTGTGAAGAGAGGTGCAAAGCATCTTGGGATGCTGGGGGACTGTGAGTTAACTTGAATCTTGAGGGAAACTGGGACAGAAGTTCAGTAAACCAATTTAACTTAAATCAGTTAAGTTTGGTACAACATCCATCCAGGTTTATCTTGAACCACTTTGGCCATTTGGAAAATGGTTTATGTGCATTGACCCTTTGTTGTATTACAGATTTGAACTACTTTCTGATCCATTATACTAGTTTATGTGCAATTTCTGTCACTAGCCAATAGGTGGAATAGAATCTGGCCCATAATTGACAGTGTCCCTTTAAAACTATCCAGAGCACTAAGGTATGGCATCAAATTTACTTCCATTCTTTTTTTTCCTTTTAATAGATACTATTATAAAAGAGAAATCTTGGAGCGTGTGGATGGCCGAAGATTAGTATATAAATTTGGAAAGAATGCCCGTGGCTGGAGAGAAAATGAAAATTAAAGATATCAGATAATACAACAGTTAAAACTTCTGTACGTAAATATTTCAAAGACTGTTTTGTTTTATTTATATACCAAAATGAGGGAAAATTCTACTTTTAATAGAACGAAGGAACACTATCATTATTCATGTTAAAATTATTTGAAGTATGTCCTGTATGGGGAAAAAAAGTACACAGTTTTCTGTGAATTATAATAACATTATAGGATTGTGATTACTTTTCCCTTCTTGCAAAGTTTTTTTAAAGTGCAGGAGTAATGTGATTTATGACAATGCTGTGAGCCATGCACGTTAAAGGGAGGGGAAAGTCACAGGGCATTATACACTTTTTATGAGCAAAGGAATTTAGAAGAAGGCCGCCTGATTTCTGCACATGAGAAAAATAATTTCCAACGTTATTTAGCTCTCTATAAAGACTTATATGTGATTTGGATCGTGTCTCTCAAGTGTGGCATGTCTGTGGAATATGGGGTATGATACAGATGCATGCATGCATGTACCTGGAAGATACCTGCCTCATACAGTTATCTCACAACAGTTGTACACTCTGGTGTGAATTTTGCACTTAAGATATGAATTGTGCATAGATAAAATAGTAAGCCTCTCTGAGCCATGTGATTTTGTTCTGTAATTAACTGAGTTTTAACTTTTGTTGGCCAATAACATTTATTCCATCACTCCTATGATTTTCTTAGTTGCAACACTTTGCTGGCTTCAAGTTGCTTCAGTTAATTAGTGTGATGGCCTTATCCTTAGCTTCACCTGGCAGTAACTGAAGCTGGGTACAGAGACACTATTAGGTGTTTATGAGTGTTTGTTTGGAGAACCCATGCAAACCCCGGATTCGTATCTTTTCTTATCGGTCTTTAACCACTTTCGGGTGATTGAAAGAGGGAATATGTCATATTGAATAAAGGCCATAAGAAAGAGATTCTGTTCTAACTCCCAAACTTATTTAAGAGGGCCAAGTGTTCAGTTTTTATCTAGGATCAGATACATCAAAGGTAACAAGATCCAAGCAGAAATGGAGAAGGTGTGTTTTCCAATAACATTTTAAAACATTCAAGATAAAAGAAGCAGGTGATGAGCTAAACAAGCTCTTGAGGTGCGCTCTTAGAAAGAATGCAGACAAGATCATTTGGTGCGGAATAAATCAGAGGAGAGCATCCCAAATTTCCTGAGTCAAATGCCCTGTGCTCCAATTCCCTTGGGCTCCAGCTGGTAGGCCAAGGCTCCCATGAGAAAGTGCATTAAGAAATCCACAGAGAAATACAAAGCCCCTTTGCACGTACATTGTGAGTTCTCCTTGTTCACCCCAGTAGTAATCATATCATGCAGAGAGTGAATGTGATCCATTATTTCTCAAGGTATATCTCTGGTGATTCTGAGGCCATGTTCAGAAAGCAAGCTCCACTGACTCTCTCTACTGCTCTGAACACATTTTGTGCCAAAAATTGTCAGGTAGTCATTATTTTGCACATGCTCATGGACACTGTCAGGATTTCAGTCTTTGCTCCCAAGAGTATCCCTGGGCATGCCTGACATGGTTCTAATAGCCACCACACAACTTTTTCTTGGCATGTAGCATGTGAGCAGGACTGAATGAGTGGGCCAAGCTTATTTCTTGGCAGTAGTCTTGGGATGGCTGCAGAAGTGGTATAGACATATCCTTGCCTGTTATTAATCAAAATTTCTCTGCAGTGAATCAAAACATTCAAAATGTGGGGGACTAAAGGAAAGGAAGGCAGTGGTACAGTAGGTCAGTTAGATGGTTGGGGAGTGTGAGTCTAGGGGCCAATTCAAGAAGGTGATGAGGGAAGTGAAAAAGAGATCATTTCCAGTCAACATAGTTTAGAGATGGGGAGTTTATAAAATCTTATCAGTGATGAGAGCATGCCAAAATGGTCACTGAGAAAGGAACACTCCAACAGCAACGGCCATATAGATGCAAAAACTTCTGGAACAAGAGCAGGAAAATATTAAATGGTTAAATGTGTCCAGCCAATATCTTCCTCCACAGGAATCCACTGTATTTGAATCCAATCTGGCTTGAAATCAAGTTAGAGTTCACAAAGAGGTATGAGTGCAACCAATTTCTGCTTTGAAGGGAAGAATGTTGTAAAAGAGTATAGAGATGAAACCAAGAGATAAGGAAGACTCAATATAAAAGCCATCAAATGTGCTTAGCAACTCTTTGCATACAAAAACAAGCTCCCAGTTTGTTACCTATGCACGTAGCGCATGTCAAAAAACACCACCTACTACACAGCATGTGCCAGGGCTGTCACCATGATTTATCCATACGTGACAATTTTTACTTTTTCATAAGCTGGGTTGGGAGATCTTGGCTTTATTTACAAATTGAGTCATGAGACTTCAGGATTCAAAACAAACTTTTTCTTAGGACATACCTTTCATTGTCAGCCTGAATGTTTTTTCTAGCACTGAGTGTTTGGTTTTGCTCAGTTCATTCATGTCTTCTGTTTTTAAGTTTGGCAAGTAGCATTCCATCCTTTTTCTCCTCACATGTAGTCCCTATAACTAATAACTACAGGGCTACTACCGCAGGGCTACTACTACCCTGGTACCTTTTAGTTGGTCCCAGAAACCCTCAGCATCACAGGAAGCTCTCCACTTCATGCTGTTTGCCTTCTGGCAATTTCTTTAGATAAAGCATACTTAGCTTCATCCTATTAAAGTAAATGAGAAAATTACTATGGACTTGTAGAGGGCTCAGATTTCACTTTTGCTCATTCTTGGGAGGCAGTAGGTGCTTGGTAGCAATACTGCTATTGTACTCTGTCTCAGGTTAAAACACATCTCACAGCAGCTGATTGTAATAATGTTTCCGAGTTATGTTTCTTCGCAACAAACTTCATGGGATATAAAAATGAACTTGTAATATACTTCTGTTACACCTTCATTATTTTCAGCAGCTAAACCTATTTGGAAATTCTTTGGGATTCTTTACCACAAAGCATGTGAATTATTATTGTAAATGAGTTTATTTTATAAAGTTGAGCTTCACTTGGCAAAGACTTGTATAGTAAAGAATTGTATTTGAGAGAATGATTTATCTTACAGTTCCTTCGCAGGCATATTTATCAATAGGTGAGGATCAGGAAAGCAAATATTGCCCATTATTTTTAAGCTTTTCAGAGTGGGAATTTATAATTTGACTGTATAGCTTAAATGGGAACCAGCTGGCATTTACTTTGCCTTACAAATATGTTATCTTTTACCTAAAACAGATAAAGTGGATTATCTAAAATTGTAATTCTTGCCAAGTACAAATGCAGCCAGGCAAAGGTGAACTTTTTTTCTGGTTCTAACCAAAGGGAGATAATGAAGATATTAATGTTTATGTAAATTGCTATTTAAATGAAAAGCATTTCTGATTGCTCTTGTATTTTGTATTTCAAAGTCTGAGCAGTCACATTTTAGATGTATATTTTAAGTTAGCAGTTGCTGAATTGCTAACACCCTATGTATATACTTGTATTGTACCATAATTTTTCATATATACAAAGTCTTGATAGGAAAAATATCATACTATATTTGTATAGCTGCCTGCAAATCAAATGTCAAAGGTGTTGTAAGCATAAAGCTATATTTTGTGTACGTTATCAGAGCAAGTTTCTTAAAGAAACATCCTGAAAACTGTACATCCTGAAAACTGTGTACATCTGTTGGTAAACTGAAAATACATTACAGTGCTTGGCTCACTTCATCTTTCTGTTTTCAGCAACTTGCTTAATACCAGCTTCCCTTTTATCCCACCTCATTGTATAAAATGTGGAAAAACACAGTATGTGTTCAGGTATTTTGGTGTTTCTATTACTAATCTCAGAATAAAAAACATATGGAACACAAAGGTAGTTTTAAATGGTTTTTATTATTACATATATTGTATAAATTCAAATAAACAGACCCTGAGATGAGTGGGCGTATCGATGTACTTCTACATTTTTATACCTTGACAACAAAGGTTTAAAGGTAATTTAAAAAGCTCCAGTAGCAGAGAGAAAATGATGTAATCACCACAAAATCCAGTAAGTGAAATGTAGAAAGATGGTTCCCCATTTACAACTGATTATTAAATCATAGGCTTCTCAAATTGTGGCTTTTACTTCATAGGGAAAGGATCATGGGAGCATTGCTGCTCTTCTGAAAAAAGTCACTTGGTAATATTGGATTGCCTTGCCTCAAGTCTAACAGCTGAATATTACTGAGGCCTCAGTTCAACCATGTTTACCTGTAGTGATGTGCCTAAATCTAGGGCATTTTAGCATGTGGTTAAGTACTAAAAATGGGATTACTCAAAAATATGTGCTAAATTCCGAGAATGTGATTCAGTAAGTCAAGAACTTATTAAATACTTTCCTCCTATGATTTTTTTCTATTAACTGCTGAAGTTGCTGCAGGAGTGTCATATGTGCCTGAATAGGAGGGGGCCTCAACTGAGAGAATATAAAGAAAAGGAGAGGTAGTTTACAAAATAATCTTTCTCTCTGTGGCCCACACTATGGGTGTTGAATATAGTCAAAGTGGGACAGATCCTTATCCTACAGCACAGAGGCCCTGATCCTGAAACCACGTAACCATGTTCTTAACTTTAAGCAAGTGAATAATTCTTACTGGTAGTGTTGAGGCTGGACATTTACTGCGGAGTTGACTAATTAACTGCAGTAGATGTCTCAGCATCTAAACATGAGTCCCTATTAGGGTGCATGAAATGAATAAAATCTGCAGCAGGGTAGTACTTGTAAATACAAGTACTAGCCTGCTCCAGAGTTTTTTCATGCGCAGCAGTGTATGTATAGATGCTGACCACTGGCTGCGACATGAAGATGCTTCAGTGCTGGGGCTGCCTGCCAGCTACCCCACACTGAAGCATCCTCATGCCCCAGCCAGGCCCTCCAGCACACTGAGCCCAGTTGGAGCAGCCTGGGCTGGCAGGCTGACTCCCAGGCCACCTACAAGCTGGGCCTGCTGTGACCCAGCTTGTAGGTGGGGCTAGGCACACATGCAGAATCATGCCTGGGAGCTTCCTCGGAGCAAAATAAACTGTGGGGCATTAAGCTCCACAATTTACTGCTACCCCCTAATAGCACACGTAGACACTCCCAGTGAAAACAAAAGTAAGCATGAATGTAGAAGTGTTTCTATATTGCTCAATTATAGTCCCAGGAAGGACTATATTGGAACATGTGTGTTTGCCCCATGTGTACTCCCTCCTGTATTAGAGGTCCTATTAGAAGTTTTTCTCAGCCAGATTGGCTGACCTGCTTGACAGAGCTTTAAATTAAGATTACTGGAGGACAGGTGGACAACTATCGGAGCAAGGCCAGGAAGTGACAAGCAAATAATCAGCAGGTCAGGAAATACAATCAAACTTATTCTGACCCAAGCCCAAGGACAGAACTCTCCTAAGTGCATAAAGAAGCCTAGGGCTTCTAATAGCAGGCTTAGCTGCCTGTATACAAATGCTGGGAGCATGGGGAACAAACAGGAGAGACTGGCCCTTCTGCTAAGCAATAATAAATATGATCTCATAGGGATAATGAAAACCTAGTGGGACTCCACCTGGTGGGATCATAGGTATAGCTGGCTATACCTGGACAGGAGGGATTGTGTTGGAAGAAAGAGCAGGGGTGTAGCTCTCTATGTCAAGGAGCAGTACGCTTCCCTACTAGCCGACATTGGCACCCAAGGAGGGCGACTCAAAACCCTCTGGGTTAGAATACAGGGAAGATGTGGTGAAGGGGATATTACTGTAGGAGTCTATTACAGACAACTTAACTACTAGAAAGAGCTTGACCATGAATTCTCTAGGTAACTAACAGAGACTGCACACTCTCAGT